CTCTCTCTCTCTCTCTCTCTCTCTCTCTCTCTCTCTCTCTCTCTCTCTCTCTCTCTCTCTCTCTCTTGGAAAGTTGAATAGTACATACCTGCATTTTGTTTGGTGGAAGACTGTAGTAAGCTTCGTGGTGAGTAGGGCAATCCACCGCAGAGGGGCAAAGGTTTGGGGGTAGGGTGCTCAGAAGCGGGCCCCCGTTGCTTAGGCGGCTAGTGCCACAAGGGTTAGGCTGAGTCTCCTCGTCTCTTCTTTTCTCCCCCACTGTCTTTGTACAAACACGCTTGGCGGGGATAAGTAACCGAACTGCTCCCCCACAGAATAGAAGCAGCCTGTGCGTTAAAAAAAAGAAAAAAAGAAAAAAAAGACTTGAAAGGGTATCTGATGCAGCGTTCTGGTGAGGATATCGTGGGTGCCATTCGGCACGAAAAACAAGAGATGTGATGTGTCCTCCAGGAGATCTATTAAAACCAGAAGAACAATACAGGGATGAGCTGCTGGGATTGGGCACTGGTTTGTGGGGTAGGGTAGAGTGAGGATGTGTAAGTTGACTGAGGATGACTGAGGTTTTCACGATCTCAGCGCGTGCTGCGTATCCTTGGGTGACCGGGGAGCAAATCAGAAGGCTGCTAACTATACTGATGATTAGGGAGGAGCACACACATTCTTGTTCCCCCCTGGGCAGTACAAGTAGTCATAACAACCAGGATCCCTGGAGATATGCTGACATGACTCAGACTTGCATGACCTTTTAGTACTGTTGTGGAGGGGAACAATACCTTCACTGTTCCCCTTCTCCCTGTGTGACACACGATCTGCCGGTTAAGGAATGACTCTACATAACAACGATTAATCACCAAATGAGTAAAAAATGACATGCATGGCCGGGTGAACATTCTGGGGTGAGCTTACAACTGGTGGCTGGATTTCACTGACACTCTCAGGCTGGGAGGGGGCTTAGGGATTGTCTCGACAAAAGGAAACTGTGTGGGAGTCTCGACAAAAGGACTTTGTGCAGGATAACATCGACAAACAGCGGTTCCGCCATCTTTGATTGGGCTCAAATGGATGATCTAACTTGGCCTATAATTAGGTGGGCCGTCAATCCCTTTGGAAGAGGGTAATCAATGCTGTCCCGCTTGACCTAATTTTTTGTTATGACCTTCTCTAGTCTTATAAGTGGGACGCTGGACCCGGTTTCCAGCAGGTGCGTTGGAGCCATCCATCACTCGGGCCCTACCATTGGGGGGCGCTCATATCACCTCCGATGGTAGGCTCCCGCAGATGTTTTTGTTATAAAAAAAAGAAGAGAAAATCAACATGCTGCAAAAAAAAAAAAAAAGGATCAGCATGCTGCCTGCACAAGGATGATGCACACCAATTCCGAAATGGTGACCCTGATTTTTTTTTCTTTTTGTTTTTCCTACGATCGTAAGATGGCAGGAAAACAGTTTTACGGTCTTTTTTTTTCTTTTTTTAAAGAAACTTCTCAGGAGGGTGACACTTGGGAGAGTGACAAGAGCATCTCCCTCAAGTAGTCCCTCGGGTGAAGGCTCCGTCTATTGGTGGGGAGCTGCACCTGGTGGAAACCGGGTCCAGCATCCCAAACATTACAAGACAATGTCGAGAGTTTGCTGGAAACCGGGTCCAGCGTCCCAGTTATTACGTTATTGTCCTGGTTCGGGGCCTTCGTACTGCTGAAGCGCCTGGTTGTTCCTGCTATATTTATTGCTGTGTTCCTCCTTCCTCCTCTTCGGGCGCCGCTGCCCAGAATAGAAGGGGCTTGGGTGATTCCCCCCCCCCAAAAAAAAGACTGTAAGACTGTACACAGTACAACAGCAAAAAATACAGGGTGCACAAGCATATGATACACACTGATCCCGGAATGGCAGCCAAGACTCTATAAATATCCTCGAAAAGCAGACGGCAGAACGAGGTCGAACCCACACAGAACCTGCAGGCTATTAACTTCTTAATAAAGTTATTATTGAAAAAGTAACAAAAAAACAACCCTTTAAAAAAGTTGGAAGAACTTAAAGAAAGTGATTTAAATCACTTCTCCCTCAACAAGCTCCACTGCTAACTATTGCCGACAGGCAGCTAAGGCCATATTAATCAGATTATGATCTTCCTGGATGCAACTGCCGGTCGCTATGGTCTTTCTGGACGTAACTGCCAGTCGCTGACCGCATTGACTGCGCGATTGAGTGAAAAAGACTGCATAATGTGAGGATGCCATTAAGATGGCTCTGCAGAGTCTGCAGACTCTGTCTGCACTTAATTAACAAACTGTTAACTGGCTTCTATGAAGAGCACACAATTAACACTCATTGCTCTGCAGACCCTGTCTACCTTGAGGATTGGACACGAAAACAGAGACAGCAACATCTGCCACTTTCCTGCCCTTGTAATGTTCTAAGAACATACCCGCTTAAACGAAGACATCACGGACCGGAACGGCCACATCACGGACTGGATTGTATGCCATGTACAATGGACAGTACATTGTATAGTTTAGGAGTTATGCATCGGCCACATGCACGCTGGCCTTCAGCCCTCTGCCTGCTGTTGGTCAAAACCAGCAAGGCCTTAGTCGGAGTGTGCTGGCACTCTTCCCTTTGAGGATGGAAAATGAAACACGCGTAGTAACATCAGGTATGCCTCCCCGACATGCATTCAAAGGATATAACCACAAAGTAATCGAACTAGATTGTTTGAACTTCACTCACAACCTGCGCGGGCCAATGGAAGTGCACCCCTGGGATCAGTGCACTTTACATTGATTACTTCTCGGCACGGGCACCCTTCTGCCACTTTTTTTTTTTTTTTGCATTGTAAAATTCAAGTATATCTGTGCAGTCCATCGGGATCATAATTCTTATTGGCATAGGAAGGAATTCCCGATGTGATGACAAACAAGATTTATAAACTCTAAAGAATCATCATTCACAGGGATGGGATAATGAATTCTTTGTTGTAATTTGCTTGGAATATCTGAATCTATCAAACACACAATCGGTATATGTAATTGACTAGCTTCAAGTATGGCCATGGAATTCTGATTTGCATTCATTATCACCAAGCAGTCTGGAATATCGTTTGTAACAATTCCTTCAGAGCATTTTTTCATTTTTTTATAACGCGGCACCTTGCGAATATGTTGTGCTGTATCTAAAACTATATTGGGGCGAAACGACGCTCAAATAGGTTCCAAGCACTTGCACAGTTTTCAGCTAGTAACAGTTTTCACTTTGGGTATAATGAAAGCATTCCGAAACAGGGTAGTGAGTGAGGTCCGCTGTGACTTGCCTTGGGAGTATGAGGTTGCCCCTTTGCGCTCTGATATGCCTGAACGGGTGGGCCTGCATGGCAGTGATGGTAAGCTAGTGATCGACTTTCCTGACAATACAGCAGACGGTAACAGCAGCCGTGGATCGGAAGGAGGACGTGGCAGCCCTTGTTTATGCCTCTTTCCGCCGTTGACGATACTCACACTTTTTCTTCTATGTGATTGTCTTTCATGGACATCTTCATCAAACGAGCTGTTCACGTTCTGGAATGCAGACAGTGTCTTTCTTCTCGACAACCTCGGCTGACCCGCACCGCCTTCCTTCTCCGAAGGCAAACACCTTTCGTCAGCAAGTGCAGGCTGCCCAGACTCACAGGGCTTCTCACTCCTCGTTCTCAAGGATTCCTTTTTACACGTCTTCTTATTTGATACTTCTCCGCTTGCAATAGATTCATCAAGGTTTGCGTGCTCCATTTGGCCATACTTGTTGGACGTACGGAAGGCACTTTCTGCTGCCGTGGTATGCTGATCATCCATTGCGACGGATGCTGATCTCCTCCTTTTTCTTACACTTCCTCCGGGTCTAAAAAAACCCTTACCTGGGTTTCGCTCACAAACCAAAACTATGGCCGACTTTCTTCGACTTACCTCTGCAGCTTTTCGGACCTGTCGGCGTCCATTGTCGGTCCGCCCCTCCAGGGGAGAATCCGATTGTGTTCTGTGCATGTCACAATGGACCGTTTCCTCAGCTACCCTGTAAGAAGATGGCTTTGTGCCAAAGTCGATGCGTCTTTCAACGGGATGATGTTGTTGGGCCCTCTGTGCCCCAGGCTCGGGTGTTGCTGCTTTGTCGAGTTCGTCTCTCAGCTCTCCTGCGATGAAGGCTCTTCGTCCTGCCACTGTATTTCCTTGAGCCGTGTGCAAATCGGGTGTTGCAGAGCGTGCTTTGCTCCCTTGATGTCGCCTTCCATCCTTGTGTGCTCCATGAGGACACTCTGCTTTGCGCTCTTTGATTGCGCTGTTGTCTTCCACTTTGTTCTGAGACTGCACACCTGCTGCCCTGTTTTCCTCGGCTGCGCCAGCATCATTGTCAGCTGCTGTCGCCGCATCTCTAAGCGATTCGCAAACAATCTCTGTCCCTTCAGTTATACATTGATGCCGGGAACATTCACCCCCAGCATCGCCAGACGTCCTGTCATGCAGTGTGCCCTCACTCTCACGGTGGTTTGGCCAACCACCAACTTCACAAACATCAACAGAACACTCTTGTGCCTCATCAAGACACTCTGCCTTGCTCTCTTCCATTACCTTGCTATCTTTTGTTTTGTGCTGAGATTGCACACCTGCTGCTGTCTTTTCCTGCACTAGACCACCATCTGCTGAACACTGAAACCGGGAACATTCCACCTGATCATCGGCACTCGTCCTAGCATGCAATACACCGTCACTCTCGAAATGGTTCCTCCAGGTGCTGACCGCACAAACATCGACAGAATACTCTGCTTCACTGTCTGCAGTTCCATGCTTCAGCTGCACAGTACCTGCTGTTCTTCCCTGCACAAAGTTATTATTATTGCGCAACTCCCTCCCTCTACTCGAGTCATATCGAGTGTGTGGGTCGGGTGGGTTGGATGGAGTCCGATTGACATGTCTCTGCGATCCGTCCACCATCTCCCCTCCTTCTGTCAAAGCCTGGTCACAGCACCCCTCCTGATCATCGGTAGACGTTCTCATCTGACATGCATTGGTGGCCTTCTGGGATCCGCCAACACTTAAAAAAAACGCGTCTACCGCGGGAGATGGTTCACTCTCGGGAGTTTCCATTTTGTCAGCGTGACCCGCATCCCTCCAACATGCTCGCCCCTCTTCTAATTTGAAGTCCATAAAAGAAGAATTACCCTTTTCGTCAACGTCTGTGGTTGCAATACACGCGATGGTGACAATCTTGGAGATTTCCTGGCCACTGCGAGCCACGCAAATGGGCAGCAGCAGAAGAAAAATCAGATATGCATCATGTTCGTCAAAAACTTTTGTGTCGATATGATGCCGACCTTCTACATATGTAAGCAGTACTAAGCACACTCACATGCATGGCCACACACACACACATGCAGACATCTGTCTGTCTGCACCGATCAATGAAGGTCAAACGTGTCTCTACAATGGAAGGGAAAAACGCGATGTTGCTATTCCCTGGTCTTCTCTCTCTCTCACTCTCACTCTCACTCTCACTCTCTCTCTCTCTCTCTCTCTCTCTTTCTCTCTCTCTCTCTTCCGCTGCCTTTCTCGCTGACAATTCACCAAAGCGTCTCCTTTCATGTTTGGAAATGTTGCAGTGTGGATGCAAAGAGACAGAAGCAATCTCTCGGCGAGTCATCAATCAGTCACAATCCTGAGATTCAGAGGTTTCTGAATGACGAAGGGAAAGAGGGAGAAGAAAATGGCCACCACACACACAAAGGTCGATGAAGTCCGGCGGTCGATTGCTGAACACTTGTAGGGCAAGAGACTCTCTGTGTCCTACATATGGTTGCGTACGACAGGATGGGTAGAATTTTGAATGAAACAAAGACAGGACAGGCAGTTTCGCAGCTTCCAGAACACAAACAACAGGGTCGAGTCTATGACGCTCACCTTTGTCTACCATTGCCACTGACGGCAAACCGCTTTGTTTATATCGAGTTTGTTGAATCAGGCATGAAGTCACTACTGCAAACTACCAGGATGTTCACAGCCAATCATGAGCACTGCTGCCC